AGTCTTGCCATAGATTCTCAATTAGATTTAGGTCTGCACTTTGATTGGGCTATTCTAACACATGAATATGCTTTGATCTAAACCATTCCATTTTAGCTTTGGCTGTATCTTTAGGGTCGTTGTCCTGCTGGAAGGTAAACCTCCACCCCAGTCTCAAGTCTTTTGCAGACTCAAACAGGTTTTCTTCCAAGATTGCCCTGTATTTGGCTCCATTCATCTTCCCATCAGCTCTGACAAGCTTCCCTGTCCCAGCTGAAGAAAAGCATCCCCACAACATGATGCTGCCACCACGTTTCACAGTGGGGATGGCGTGTTCAGGGTGGTGTGCGGTGTTCGTTTTCCGCCACACATATCATTTTGTATTTAGGCCAAAATGTTTAATTTTGGTCTCATCTGACCAGAAAACCTTCTTTTACATGTTTGCTGTGTAGCCCACATGGCTTCTCACAAACTGCAAAAGGGACTTATGGCTTTCTTTCAGCAATGGCTTTCTTCTTGCCATTCTTCCATAAAGGTCTTATTTGTGGAGTGCACAACTAATAGTTGTCCTATGGACAGTTTTTTCCACCTGAGCGGTGGATCACTGTAGCTTCTCCAGAGTTACCATGATTGCTTCTCTGATTAATGCCCTCCTTGCCCAGTCTGTCAGTTTAGGGGGACAGCCATGTTTTGGTAGGTTTGCAGTTGTGCCATACGCTTTCAATTTTCGGATGAAGGATTGAACAGAACAGAAATGTTCAAAGCTTGGATATTTTTTTTGAGGGCTTCAGAGAACAGCTGTATTTATATTGAGACTACACTACACACAGGTGGACTACTAATTAGGTTACTTCTGATGGCAATTGGTTTCACTAGATTTTAGTTAGGGGTAACAGAGTAAAGAGGGCTGAATATAAATGCACACCACACTTTTCAGATATTTAAATTTTGAAAACCCATTTATCATTTTCCTTCCACTTTGTGTTGGTCATATCACATATGAATACTTTTTCAAGGCACTGTACAAAAAAAAAAATAATAAAAAGGGCTTTTAAAACAGAAGATTATATAAGAGAGCAGATGTTTGTTACCCTTAAACACCAATAAATCCAATCATTTACCAAAAATCCATATCCATATATATATATACACACATATATATATATATATATATATATATATATATATATTATATATTTATTTAGGTACTTATATAGCGCTGTCAATTTACGCAGCACTTTTACACATAGATATTGTACATTCACATCAGTCCCTAACCCTCAAGGGGCGTATAATCTAAGGTCCCTAATTACATTCATACATACACATATTAGGGCCAATTTAGACCGGATCCAATTAACCTACCAGCATGTCTTTGGATGTGGGACACCCGGATAAACCCACGCAGGCACAGGGAGAACATGCAAACTCCAGGCAGGTGGGTCCGTGGCTGGGATTCGAACCAACGACCTTAGTACTGCCAGGCGGGAGTATGCTAACCATTTAGCCACTGCGCTGCCCCATATTCGCCTTAAAGACTGATAAATTATACTTGTGGGATTAACATATGGACACACATATAGTAATAGTCTTCAAACGGGACATTTGCTAAGTGTCTTTATGACCGTTGATGCAATATCAATATACAGTTCATGGGAATTCAACATAACTATGTATATTCAATTGTTTGGGATATTCTTTGCTTTCAAATTTGGGCCAGGTAAGGTGACAAAATAGATCTATCTTCTAGGGTGAATATCCACAACCTGGGGGTTTGGTAAGACAATGTCAGCAGCAATAACGAAGGAATCTTTGGTTTCAAATCTTTGATCTACAGGGCTGAAGAGAGTTTGCTTTGAATATAAAGGATTCATGCACACTAGGTTTAAAAAAACAAAACAAAAAAAAATGGCTTCTACAGGAGTTTTCATAGATAGTCCGGCTGAAAAAAAGACAAAAAGTCCATCCAGTTCAACCATTTCCTATGTGTCTGTGCACATTAAGATGTTTAGAGGCATATTTTAACCTCAGCGTTTAGAAGCAGAAAAAAACCCTCTCTGGTTTAACTTTTTTCTGCTAGAAAACTCCTCTCAGAAAAGCAAACGCTCCTAAGCTCTGTACAACAATGCTCTATATAAGCTTTTAAGCCCAATGTGCATGGACCCTAAAAATGAATTAAAAAGTTGTTGTTGGTGCTCAGATGCAGTTTAGTTCCATGTTAACCGCCTCCCAACTGCCATATAACTAAATGACAGGCGGGCGATGGCTCTCTCGTTCTGGGAAGACGTCATATGTCCTTGTGACACAGCGGATCACCGATCGCAATAAAGAGCCAATGACACAGGCTCTATCATGTGATCAGCTGTGTCCAATCAGTAAGCAGCATTTCTCAGAGGGACATCTACACTGATTATCAATGCAGCCCCATCAGTACTGTCTTTCAGTGCCCATAATTGATTCCTGTCAGTGCCCATCAATGCCACATGTGGAATTTATGTGCACCAATATCAGCGCCCATCAGAGCTGCCTTTCAGTGCCAACTATCAGTGCCAGTCAGTGATGTCCATCAGTGCCATCTAACCGGTCCAATCAGTGCCGCCTAACAGCTCCAGTCAGTGCCATATATGAGTGCCACCTTTCAGTGCTGCCTATCAGTGCAGCCTCATTAGTGCACATTAGTGAAGGAGAAAAATTACTTATTTACAAAATTTTATAACAGAAACTAAGAAAAAAAAAAAACTTTATTTTTTAAAAATTCAGGTATTTTTTTTAGTTTGTTTAGCAAAAGATAAAAAGCCAGTGGTGATTAAATACCACCAAAAGAAAGCTCTACTTGTGAAAAAAAAGATAAAAATTTTGATTGGGTACAGTGTTGCATGACTGTGCAATTGTCAAAGTGCGGCACCACTGAAAGTGAAAATTGGCCTGGGAAGGAGGGGGTAAAAGTGCCTAGTAGGCAAGTGGTTAAAGATTGTGCCCCCCCCCCCCAATGAACATTGGGAGAAAAGGTGTATAAAAGGAGAGGACATAGGAAGCATGTAAAAACATTTCCAAGACCCTAACTATGCCTTATTATATAGTTAATCAGTCATGACTGAAGAAACAGTATAGCATAACAGGAAATCTCCAGAAGCAGCCTCTCAACCATATTAAGTGATTGTACAAGAAGGAGATTAGTAAGGAAGGTCACCCAGTTGCGTATAACTGTTGCCTATGTTCCTCATCATTGGCGGCTTTCTGATAGGGTGCCAAAAACAAAAGTATAGTTCACAAAAATCTCTCCTAGAAACTTGCCTAGTTTGCCACATAGCATGCGAGAGACTCTGAAGTAAGTTGGAAGAAGATTCTATGGTCTGAGGAGACCAAACTGAGCTGTTTGGCGATCATGACTCAACACCATGTATTATGTAAGCTAAACACTGACATACTCACCTTTAACCGGGTAGCAGAATTTTACTGTGGGCAAATATAAATGGAAATCATGAAAGAATACTTTGTGCACTCTGCAAGAAACCTAAGCCTTTGGCCCCTTTCACAGGGGGCAGATTACTTTCCATCAGCATGGGATCCGTATACAGATCCCATTCTGATCGGAGCAGAGTTGACGGATGACACATCCCTGTCTGCTAAGTTTCTGCAGAGTGGACGTGGACAGAGCCCGTTCTGCTCTATGGGCAACCACGAGTAAAAGTACTCCATTGTCAGTTTACACCTGACTAGTTTCCGATCTGCCTAAACAGAACACCACAGATCCCCTTATGTTTTTTTGCTTTAGTGGACCAAATTGGACCTGAAGGTAGGCAGCTGTAAATTGACACACATCTGTTTACATCCATCTGTACATAGGAATGCATGGACCTTCTGATCAGGTCTGCCTGAAAAGCAGACAGGCGGACCTGATCAGATCGCCCATGTGAAAGGGGCCTTAGGAGAGGATTTGTCTTGCAGCAAAACAATTATGCCAAGCAAAGCTAAAAACTACATAAGAAAAGACTTAAAACAAATGTAATGTCCTAGACTAGCCAGACCTCAACTCAAAAAAAAGAATTTATAGCTGGAGTTGAAATAATCTGTTTAGAGAAAGCTTTATCCCTAAAAAAGGAAAAATTCTGTTGTAACTGCTTATAAAGTATTAGCTGGAGTTCTGCTTTAATTTATTAGTCAATCGAACACTACTATCAACCAGATTGAAAATGTTACTGACAAAAAGTGTCCCTGTTGCTTCTCCATCCAGAGTGGAGACACCCGGACATAGGACGTGTGTTACTGGCTGGACCATCAGGTGAAAATAAAAGGGGGGAAAAGCCTAGAAAAAGAAAAACTAATGGAGACATCATACTGAAGGATTGGTAAGCTGCAATAATTAAAATTGTTGGTTCTGGGTTTAATACCAATTTAACTGCTCTACCTGTTTGTGTCGTTTCAGATCTAATTACTGTTTAGCTCTCAACTACAGAGCAGTAGAAAGACTCAGGGATTGTGGAATGTGTATTTTCTTTACAGGAAATGTCAGTTTTCACACTAAACACAAAGTTCATGCATTAACCTGTACAGTGCCATGCCAAGTATCATGTTCGAACACAGACAGAAATTTCTGACATAGAATTGGGATGATTTACTCCATTATAGGCTGTATGTACAGGATACCATGAAACTACAGGATCAACGCACATCTTATGAAGGTGAAGACACAAGGTGCACTTAGAATGGTGTATAATGCCTTTAATTTAAGGCCACTTCACAGGGATCTGCTTAACTTGGCCACACAGGGTCTGTATCTGTTAAATTATGTAAAAAAACAAACATACACTGTATTCTATAACTATTTTTTTATAGGAACTGTAATAGTACGGACTTAAATTTGAAAATGATGTTCTGAAGTCTTAAGTAGCTCTTGAACCTGTCTCCCCCTAGAAGTGTATAAATTACTGGCAGATATGCACCTACAAAACAAGCTACAGATGAAGAAAGAAAGAAAACTGAAAGAAAGCAGGAAAAGAGAGAAAAAAGGATCCCAGCACCTGTTTTCTCGCCACCTGAACTCCCAAACGTCTGGCGAAAGCTATTCTGTATGACATTTGACAGACCTTCCATGCTGAAGCGCTACAGAAGCACAGAAGTACGGCAAGCAGTGGAAAAAGGAAGAGAAAGGTGGTTAGTAAGGTCTTTCATAATTGATATGTTATTGCACACACACACAAAAAATAAATCAACACTAACAGAGAAAAAGAGAGAAGAGAGGCCATAACTCCATTTATTTGACATTAGCTTGCACCTGGTTCATTTAAGTCCCCTAAACAAATTCCCTTATAAGCAAACTATGACTTTGTTCTAAACCTTAAAAGTGATACTAAAGAGTTTTGGCTCTACGTGTCCATTCATGCACAAAGCTGTGGCTCAGCCCTGCCCCCTCCTGATTGGCTCACTGGCTGTGATTGACAGAAGCAGGAGCCAATGGCTCCAGCTACTAGCTCAGCCAGATGAGTGAGAGTCCCCGGAGAACCGGGATCAAGAGGAGGCTCAGGTAAGTGTTAGGGGACTGCTACACATAAAAAGTTTTTCACCTTCATTCACAGAGACTTTAGAACCACTTTAAAATATTTTTTTTGTTTATGGATATGGTAGGCAAGGGTTAGGATCTCTGTCAGGTTTACCCATGTTCCCACTGCAGAGAATCCCCCTCTCTATTTGTCCTAGTGACCATTGTCACTGCAAACTAAAAGTATTGGGAAATCAAAATTTGACAGTTGTCGCTGATCAAGGAGATAAGAGATTTCCTCGTTTACTGTTGGGTATTTGGGAAGGAAAATATTTCCAATAGGATAACAGTAGTAAAAATCGAACTATGGTGAGTTATAACCCTTCTCTATTCTAAAATCTAAAAAAATAAAAAGTGTGCGATTGACAGCAATAAAATCATTTTTCTTTACATAATGAAAGAAAAAATATGGAACTTGCAGATCCAGCAGCAAATAACACGATTTACAACAAACAGTTTATTTCAGTTACAGAACCTTTTTTCACCCAAAATGCTTCTAAACCCAAGCACCTAAATTGTATTTCCCCTTCTATAGCCAAATTGGGATAATGCCTACTTTATATTTGTTACATGTCGCCATTTACATATGATAAAAGTTGCAGCTTGCGGTTTTTTTTTGGTTTGTGGTGCTAAGATACAGTGTAGTTCCGCTTTAGTGTGCTGTAGTTATGCCTGCATACCACAGGCATGCACAATGTTGTAGTGTGACATGTTGGGTATTTACTCAACATAACATTTTTTTATACTTTACCAAAAATTGATTATTATTATTGTTCCTGCAGGGGCACATCCTCAAGTGTTATTGATGCTGATGTATTGTGGCCATGTATAAAGGACAAGTTCACCTTTTAGACAAAAATAATAAATGCACATTTTTTTGCAGCTCCTTTAATAAAATGTGTTACCAAACCCACAACAGTAAAATCTGTCTGTATATGCAGTAAAGCATGCTTTTTATACTCACTGTAGAACCTAAGGGGTTAATCATCTGCATTGTGGAAAAACGCTGTTTGATCCTGACTTCTCTGATCCTCCCCTTCTTCCAGCGCCCCCCTCTTATCTCCTGATAAGACATATGGTGTGCAGTCACTCTGCACATGCTCAGTTTGGTGTGTATTGCTAGAGGGTTTTTTTTTTTTTCTTGGGAGAGTGCATGTAAACAGCACAGGGCCAATCAGCACTGTCCAGACAGAGGTCAGGGGTTCTGCATCCTCCCAGAGCAAAATGAAAACTCCTCCTACAAGCTTTAACCAGTGCTCAGCTGGACACTGATAGAAGTCACAAGACTGCTCTAACTACTGATGAGAAAAGGTATTTAGCAGTTTATATTTACTAAAATAATTGCACTTCCATTTTCTGTGTAGTGTGGGAGACCAGATATAGTGAATGCAGGATCCTGGGTTTAGTAACACTTTAAATATTTATTTTTGCATAATGTTTTACGGACATGTGAAAATGAATAGAATTTAAAAGGAGATGTGAATGTGCTGGTGATATATGCAATCATCTGTGAATTTTCTCAGTTACCTAGGTCATAGTATAGTGTTTTTATGTTATACACGTTAGTCACATTCAACTGAAATACTGCTCAGTAAAATTAAAGATGTTTCACTACTCACTTGCTCAGTTCTAGTGGTGTGGGGAGTTGAGCAGTCAAAGTAAATACGTATAGGGCCTGATATATGTTTTCTTATTAAGAGGCATACTTTGCTCTACAACTCCAAAAATATGGAAGCCACATTCCCTATAATAGTTGAAAACTGCATAGTTGAAATCAGGTTAGTTAAGAAGAAATGGTCCAAGTTCTCATATAAAAGTAGCTACTGTAAATGAACAAGAAACAAAGGGGGCTAAAAGATATAGCATACCTTATTAAAAGATCGCTTACACCCATAAAAAATGGAAATACATTAATTATGAAAGGACAATTAGCAATCAAACATCTACTTATCTGAAATTAGGAGAAAAACATCTGATTTCATTAAAGGAGTCAATCTACCAAAATCTTATTTTAGCCCCTGGCTTTTTTAATCCTTCTGTGGCAAGATTTCACAGGTCTACCTACCATGACAAAATGGAGAAAAAATGCTCTCTGTTGATTACTTTAAATTTATCATTGAGTTCACCATAAGAGAAGAGGGATGCCATAAAACCCCATTGTAAAGGGGGTGATCGGAAACATGGATATCAACCTGGAGCCCTTAAAAATTTGGAATGCACAATTCAGCTCAGTAGCAGCCTTTCATAACGGAAATATCAGTTCTGAGTGACCTATCCAAAACTAAACCTATAAGAATAGACACAAATACTGCTTAGCTGACTAATTTCTGTAAAATGCAGGCTTCAAGGCTGCCATTCAGACGATGGTTTCACTATCTAGTAAATGGATGACCAAGCATGTATGGAACTAACAGAAAGCCAAGTCCTGTTCTGTATACTTGTTCCAGGTTTGCTAACCACTAGGTAGTGAAGCTAAGATAAGGATTAGTGTCTGGGATGTACAGCTCTAAAAATCAAAGTCAGGAGTTGCATATTTCTGTTCTAACTGGTTCCCTACAACAGTTACTGTAAAATTCAATTCACAAAAGACATATGCAGTTGCGTACTGTAAATACTTTTCACAAAAGACATAGGATTAAGTATACATATTTACCGTTCCTGGTAAATGACTTCTTTCCTGCTTGCCATTCTGTGTGCTGTTACTTTTTAACTTTTTCTTCTTTTTCACATTTTCTTTGTGCTCTTTTTGTTTATTTTGAACTTCAATGAGGATAGAAATGAAGCTGTTCTTTACTTCTTTCTCAAACTCAAGCTCATCTCTTAAGGCGAGATGCTGGACCAATTCCTCTGAATAATCCTTAATGGCAATCTCAATTTCCTCCAGAAGATCATTTAGCTCTGTAACAGTCATCTGCTTAACCCCTTTGCAAAAAAGACAGCAAAAATATTACAGTACATTACAAAATGTGCATGCAAAAAACACATTAAATCACAACTCTGTAAAACAATAAATTGACTTGCTAAAACTCAACTGGATAATTGGTGCTGGCACCATTATTGTCTTTAGGTACGTGCAGCTTGTAGTACTGTCTTTTTAATGTACAGATATTGACAACAGTTGTTTTTGACTGCGACCACCAACCCATTATTAAATTCAATTAACGTCAGTGTCACAAAGTCAGTTTCCTCCCCAGTGTCAGAATGCCCGCGGCAGTCCCGCTATAAATCGCTGATCGCTGTCATTACTAGTAAAAATAAAAAAAAAATCCCAGAATATATACATCGCCATTTGTCAGGCTCCATGAACATGGGTGTTTAGAGAACGCTGGTAACGTCAGCTATGTAAACTCACGTTAAAAACTTGAGTTTTTCAGCTTCTTTTTTTAGTGTTTTTGCATTAGCATTTAGCGGTGTTTCCCATGTTTGCATTTTTTGAGAGGGTGTTTTTTTTTTTTAACCAACACGTAAAAAAAAAATATTTTTTTGGTCATTAAAACGTCTAAAAATGTCTGTTTGCTGTGTTTTGCAGCGTTAGAGCATTTTTACAGCTACAAAACTCCTCTAGAAACCCACTAGTCCAACCAAAAAAGATTGATTACAGTCTATGTCTGCATGGACACATAGGATAACATGCTGGGGGGTTTACTAGCTGTAGAAAAAAATATCAAAAGGCAAAAACAGCAGCTGTAAAAACATCCAGTGTGCATGAGGACTTAATGCTATAACTTTCACGTAAACCAATTAATTGGGATTTTTTTTTTTTTTTTTTTTTTAGCAAAGACATGTAGCAGAATACATTTTGGCCTAAATTTATGACGAAATTTGACTTTTAAATGTTTTTTTTCAGGACATGTTTAATAGCAAAATATCAAAAATATAGTTTTTTTCTCAAAATTGTCTTTTTTTTTTTTTTTTATAGCGCCGGAAAAAAAACAAAACAAAACAAAAAAACCCCCCAGGAAATCAAATACCAAACGAAATCTCAATTTGTGGGAAAAAAAAAAAAGGAAATAAATTTCAGTTGGGTGCAGCGTTGCATGACCGCTCAATTTTCAGTTAAAGTAATGCAGCGCCGTGACGCAAAAAATGGCCTGGTCAGGAAGGGGGGGGGGGGGGTAAATCCTCAGGAGGCAAAGTGGTTAAGACAGCAAGGTTTCCAAGATTGAGGGCTGCTCTCCAAGACTTTCACTGGGAAGGAATATGGGCATCAAACACTGAAATGGGAATTGGGAAATGGGAAATGGGAATTCTTCAAAAAGATTGTATGCAAACACACTGTAAAATATATTCCCATGGGCAACAAGTTTAAAAGGCTAAAAATAAAACCTGTGTGGCTTAAGGCCAAAGTAAAAAAAAAAAAAAAATAGGAAAAAAGCTTTTAAAAAATATGAAACTGAAGGAACACTATCATCGTTTAAATATTACAAAGAATAGAACAAGCAACTGCCTTGAGATCATTCACACGCTTCTCATGTATAGTTCTGCACTGATCACTCACTTTTCTGATGATCATCCTTACCCAACGAGATGAAATTTTGCATGGAGCTCCTGACCAAGGGTAATTGACGGTTATTTTGTATTTCTTTCATTTGCGAATAATCGCTCCAACAGTTGTCTCCTCCTCACCAAGCTTCTTGCTGATGGTATTGTAGCCCATTCCAGCATTGGCAGGTCTACAATCTTGTCCCTGACGTCCATTGGTCTTGCCCATGGTGGTGAGGTTTGAATGGAAGAAAGATTCTGTAGACAGGTGTCTTTTATACACACGAGTTGTCGGTCAGAGCACCTTCTGAAATTGAAGGACTAATCTGTGTACTACATGAGCACATAGCTAGTCTCTGGGAGCCAGAATTATTGTTGGTTGGTAGGGTGATCAAATACGTATTTTACTCACTGAACTGCTATTCAAATTATAACATTTGTATCATGTGTTTAACTGGAGTTTTGGTTGATATTCTGTCCCGATCATTTAAATATGATAAAAAAAATTATAGACCCTTCATTTCTTTGTAAGTGGGCAAACCTACAAAATCTGCAGGGGATCAAGCAACAGACAGAATGGATTTAAGGATGACAGAAGTTGTCAAACAAATCAGATTTCTTTTTATGAGAAGGAAAGCAAGGAGTGGTATACTTGGATTTTGCAAAAGCATTTGACAAAGTTCCCCACACATGGCTAATGTGTAAGGTAAAGTCTACAGGCTTGGAAAATAGAAGTTTGTAAATGGATAGAAAACTGGTTAAGACCGAATTCAGAGTGTAGGGGTTAATGATTCATACTCTGAACTGAAACTCTGGGTGTTGTGGTAGAATATAAACTTAATAATGGCATCCAATGCCAAGCTGCAGTTTACAAAGTAAGAAAAATCCTCTTTTGTATCAAAAGAGGTATGGACTGCAGAGAGAGAGAGAGAGAAATATTTTACACCTGTACAAATCATTAGTAATACCTCATCTGGAATATGCTGCTCAGTATTTTGGCACCAATTCAAAAAAAGGATAAAATCGGGGAACTAGAGAAAGTGCAGGAAGGGCAATCAAACTGATAAGAGGAATGGAGGAGCTCAGCTATGAGGAAAGATTAGAGCAGTGGTTCTCAACCTTTCTAACGCCGCGACCCCTTAATACAGTTCCTCATGTTGTGGTGACCCCCAACCATAAAATTATTTTCGTTGCTACTTTATAACTGTAATTTTGCAGTAGGAGGAATAGTGCCACGTCATTGGTGTCAGTGGGAGGAATACTGCCCCGTCATTGGTATCAGTGGGAGGAATAGTGCCCCGTCATTGGTGTCAGTGGGAGGAATAGTGCCCCCGTCATTGGTGTCAGTGGGAGGAATAGTGCCCCCGTCATTGGTGTCAGTGGGAGGAATAGTGCCCCGTCATTGGTGTCAGTGGGAGGAATAGTGCCCCGTCATTGGTGTCAGTGGGAGGAATAGTGCCCCGTCATTGGTGTCAGTGGGAGGAATAGTGCCCCGTCATTGGTGTCAGTGGGAGGAATAGTGCCCCGTCATTGGTGTCAGTGGGAGGAATAGTGCCCCGTCATTGGTGTCAGTGGGAGGAATAGTGCCCGTCATTGGTGTCAGTGGGAGGAATAGTGTCCTCGTCATTGGTGTCAGTGGGAGGAATAGTGTCCCATCATTGGTGTCAGTGGGAGGAATAGTGTCCCATCATTGGTGTCAGTGGGAGGAATAGTGTCCCATCATTGGTATCAGTGGGAGGAATAGTGCCCCATCATTGGTGTCAGTGGGAGGAATAGTGCCCCATCATTGGTATCAGTGGGGGGGAATAGTGTCCCATCATTGGTATCAGTGGGAGGAATAGTGTCCCATCATTGGTGTCAGTGGGAGGAATAGTGCCCCATCATTGGTATCAGTGGGGGGGAATAGTGCCCCATCATTGGTATCAGTGGGGGGGGAATAGTGTCCCATCATTGGTATCAGTGGGAGGAATAGTGCCCCATCATTGGTGTCAGTGGGAGGAATAGTGCCCCATCATTGGTATCAGTGGGAGGAATTGTGCCCCATCATTGGTATCAGTGGGGGGGAATAGTGTCCCATCATTGGTATCAGTGGGAGGAATAGTGCCCCATCATTGGTGTCAGTGGGAGGAGGAATAGTGCCCCATCATTGGTATAAGTGGGGGGAGGAATAGTGCCCCATCCTTGGTGTCAGTGGGGGGAGGAATACTGCCCCATCCTTGGTGTCAGTGGGGGGAGGAATACTGCCCCATCCTTGGTGTCAGTGGGGGGAGCGGTGTCTCGGTTCCTAAGACCATCGGAAATATGTGTTTTCCGATGGTCTTAGGCGACCCCTGTGGAAGCGTCGTTCGACCCCCAAAGGGGTCGCGACCCCCAGGTTGAGAACCGCTGGATTAGAGGAACTGAATTTAGTCTTTCTTGAGAAGAGGAGATTAGGAGAATATGATCAACATGTATAAATACATAAGTGGTCCATATAGTGAACTCGGTGTAGAGTTAGTCAATTTAGGGTCATCACAGAGGACAAGAAGGTACTCTTTACGTCTGGAGGAAAAGAGATTTAATCTCCAAATATGGAAAGGTTTTTTCACAGTAAGCTGTGAAAATGTGCCAGCTTAGTTGATTGCTTTAGAAAACACCTAGATTCTTTCCTAAATGCACATAATAAAATGCATACTAACATTTATAGGTAAAGTTGATCAAGGGAATATCAGATTGCCTCTTGGGGGATCAGAAAGGATTTTTTTCCCCTGCTGGAGCAAATTGCATCACGCCTTGCTGGGGTTTTTTGCCTTCCTGTGGATCAACGGTGAGTATATAATTTTTTTTCCCGCTTCTATAGTTGAACTAAATGAAAATGTGTTCTTTTCAGACAGACTAGTTATGTAACTAAGTGAATATAATCTTTGTCATGTTGAATGATCTTCAAGAAAAAGTTAATTTCAAAACAATCATCCTATCTTATACAAACTCATCAGGCAGTCTATTAGGAACACTATGGTGGGGCTCCTTATTACCCTCAAAACAGCCTACGTTCTGACTGTCATGGATTCCATAAAAATTTCCTTTGAGATTCTGGTGCATGCTGGCAAAACTGCATAATACCGTTACTGCAAACTACATATTCATGCTTTAAATCTCCTGTTCAATAACATCTTAGGTCTTCTATTGGATTCAGATGATGTAAATGACAATTTGTGTGCCTTAGAAGAAATTGAGACTCATCCGACCAGGATACATGGTTTCAGTCTTCAATTGCCCAGTGTTGGTCCGCCTGTACCCCACTGCAGCCTCAATTTTCCATTCGTGGTTAAGAGGACTAGAACACAACATGGTCTTGTGCTGTTGCAGCCCATCCCCTTCAAGGTTTGATGTGCGCTGAGACTTTTTCAGCTTACCATAAATATGAAGAGTGGTTATCCAATTACCGTAGCTTGGACA